AGCACTAGCATAGCTAGTAGTTGATGAAGTAACAACAATTTTTGAATTTTGTGTTCTTCTAAATCTCTCGTGAGATTTAGTGTAAAATCTAAATCCATTAATGATAAACCCTTTATATTGTTTCACAATCCTATTCGAACCTTATAAAAGACACCTTATCTCTTCACTAACTGGCTTTCCACTCCAAACCTACAAAGGTGGAATAAAATTTATGTTATTAATTTTATTTATACCCTAAGCATTCTATGTACAATCTTCAAAATGGGAAGTATGGCATTACTTATAGTTTTTCCTAATCATTTATGAAAATTTTTGGTGAACAACTTATTAAGCTCTCGAGGGTTTGATCATCGATAATGTACATGAGCTCTCAAATTATTTTTATACTCACTACATCCATAAAAAAGTATTAATAATAAGAAGCAAAGTCTATAAATTATGCTTAATAGAATGAATGATTTTCTTACATGAATAACTTACATGTAAAATGATTCAATTGAGTTATGATAGAAATGAACATATCAATGTACCTGTACCTAAGATTTATCATCTAACTCCACCATTTTGGCTTTGCTTATTGCTTGTCTAAAACTTTCAAAAAGATAAGTGTAGATAAAATCAATATGCTACATACCAAGATTTTTCAATGTTCTATTAAATCTCGTTTCAATATTTTTCAAATGTCGAGAACAAAATGTCATACATTCTTTTGTGAAATATCTTTCAGCAATAGAATCTTTTCGGATAGTGTTTGTTAAAATAATAAGACTTTAACCTTCCTAAAAACCTAAGACATAAAATATTTGTCATGTACCATTTTAATTAGAATGGTATCATAAACACTAACAAAAACATTTGTTTCCTTCTTTTGGTGGGTTTTAAGAAAAGTTTGGTTTTTATGATTTTTTTATTTATCATTTTGTTTTTTTCTTTTCTTTTGATTATCTAATAAGAGAAGGATGAAGATTCAAGAATTCATAGGGAAAGGAAAATTTGGTTTGCAATATTACAAAGATAGCAAAGAACTTTTTAGATCCATCTTTTCTTTGGAGAGTAGTGAGAAAGAAAGTAAAATTAGAAAGAGAAAGAAGAAAGCAAAATAAATAAAAAAAATAACTTTTTTGCAATTTATATGAAATTAATTAGTTGATGTGTCAATCATATCTTTTTTTTTTTTTTGGTCAATTTTTGGATGGAATTCGTAAACATATCACATTTGCGACACTTAATAAACTTTAATGACTTTATTGAGACAAATTATAATTCAGTGACCTGTTTGAGAAAACGGGGATAGTTTAGTGACCACACATGAAATTTACTCCAACATGTTTTACCATCCGTACTTGGAACCCCAATCTGAGTGAAATCAAGCGATCCAAATCCCGATTGGGGTGGAAGAAAGAGAAAGGATCCATCATTCTTCAGTCGCCGTCGACTCACCGACCTAATCGCTGCTCACCACAAACACACTCCAAATCCCATATTGTGCCTTTTCCATTTTAGGTTTTGTTCATCAGAAAAGGAAATGCCGGGGCCTACCTGCAACGCATGTAATAAAGAATTCGTTGACGATGTGGAGCAGAAGCTCCGTTACAAGTCTGAGTGGCACCGCTACAATCTCAAGCGCAAGGTCATTTTTTCTTTTCTTCATTTTTTTAATTACTAGTTTATCTTAAGGATCTTTGCTATTTCTGATTTTACTTTAATTTATTTGAGATTGTAATATCTTTGATTTTGTTATTTATATTTTCTGCGTAATTCAATTTGGTGATGCAAATTCAAAGTGCATAAGTTTATTATAATAGAACCAAATCCTCTAACTTTTTAAGATGCAAAATAGAAATACTGTAATAAAAATTCAATTTTATTATGCAAATTCAAAGGTGCATGAGCAGTTCATTATAGCCATTTAGGATGCCTTTCTAAAAAAAAAATTTTTTTTTTTGTGCGTTAGTGAACAATATCCCCTGCTTTTTAATCATATACATGGTTTGATGTTATCAATTTCTTCATTTTAAAATAACAATAATAATTATGTTAAAGGTTGTTATCTCCATGAATGATTGTCCAATCAATGGTTACTTTGGAATAATCATGCGAGTTTTTATGTTAAAATTAAATTAGGTGGCCGGGGTTTCAGGAGTGAAGGAAGCTCTGTTTCTGGCAAGACAATCAGCACTTGCTCAAGAGAAAGATAAGCAGAATGAAACCCCCATTCTTTACAGTTGTGGTCTTTGTGGTAAGGGCTACCGAAGTTCCAGGCTTATTCTCAGCATCTTAAGTCACGGACCCATATCATGCAGGCTTCTCAAGGAACCAATCACCCTGAAGATTAGCATGCCTTTATCAAGCCACTTCTATGTTGCGGTAAACAAACCTCCACAACCACGGGATAGAAATGATGAGGAAAGTGAAGATGAGTGGGTGGAGGTTGATCAGGAAGAAGACTTGGTTGGTCAGGCTGCAAATTCCTTACATGATTTGAATGTAAATGAGCAAGCATCTTGTGATTAAATGGATACTGATGATGATGAAGAAGAAGAGTTAGATGTTGTTTTATGTGTGATCTAGACCAGGATACCATTGAAAGCTGCATGGTTCGCAAGCATGAGTTTCATGGTTTCATCATTCCTGATGTTGAGTATTTGAAGGATCCTGAAGGTTTGCTCACCAACCTTGGCCTTAAGGTAACAAATTGTATATCATTTTTGTTGGATAAATATGTTATTTATATTAAATTTTGGTCTGTTCATGCTTATGTTATGGTTTCTTTATCTCAGGTTAAGAGGGATTTCATGTGTCTGTATTGTAATGAATGGTGCCTTCCTTTCACTAGCTTGGAAGCTGTTAGGAAACATATGGCAACCAAAGGTCATTGCAAAGTGCATTTTGGTGATGGTGATGAAGATGAAGATGAGGACGCAGAGTTGGAAGAATTCTATGATTATAGCAGCAGGTATGCATCTTCTTCAATTATCATTTTATCTGATTTTATCTTTTTAAATGAATTTGTTATTGCTTATTATTATTTCTTTTAAAACAGCTATGTGGATGAGAGTAGGAAGCAGTTGGTCACAGCTGATGATATAGGCAACATTGTATAACTTAGTGCTGGCTCAGAGCTTATTATAACCAGAAGATCTGATCATGGAATAATGACTAAAACACTTGGTTCCTGAGAATACTTTCGCCCATCACCTGCAAATAACATGGCCATTACTGCTGCGTTGGTCTCAAGGTCTATTTTCACTCTTTTGGATCACTGGTGATAGCAACCCCAACCCCTTCTCCACCCTTTTCTCACCAACAGAAAAGAAAGGATTTGAAATGCTTATTTCTCTCTTTCCCTTTTTCTCAAACAACAATTAAAACTAACTATAATCATATGGTAACGGGGAATTCTGCATTGCTTTACAGGTACAGTAGTATGGGCTTAGCAACTGTGCAGTCAAGAGAGCAAATTTGTGAGAATGAAGGTGATGAAAGCAATGAATAGATCTGGTGCGGAGGCAATGCAGACAAAAGTTGGCAAGAAGAATAATGTCATTCCAAACCTGCCTAAGAATGACCCATATTAGTCAGTAACTCTCAGCAAATTGGCTTATCTTTTTCTATGGTAGTATTTTATTTCTTGGAAAATGGGAGCTTTCTAGTTCTATATGCGTCTCAGCGTCTCAATTTTGCATTGTCTCTGAGTAATATGTTAAGCCAAAGCTGTTTAAAACTACTTACAGGATTTACAATTGTTTGATTTTGCTTAAGCTCATTTCTGGTAAATATAAATATATATATATATATATATATATATATTCTTGTCAAGTGGTAGAAAAGAAAAATTTTGATGAAAGAAATGAAAGGAAACAGTTTGAAAGTTGAAAAAGATCTGCATATGAATTAGAACGTTTATCCAAGTTTTATTCATGATGGTGATGTATTCGACTAGTCTTGTTTTTGTTTAGAAATTCAACATTGAAAGGCCAGCACAAGCACCTTACATGGATTTTATGATACTAACAGATGTCCTCTTTCCTGTTAAGTTCTATGCTGCCAATCTTCTCTTAACGAAATTTGTGGTAGTGTGTAATAAAGCCGAATGAAATTCATACAATTCAAATTTATACAATTCAAATCGATATGAAGTCATGCTCAAGCTCGATTTGAAAACTCGAATTTTGAAATATCTAATTTTAATGAAGTTTTAGTTTTTCCGTTCAAACAATTCATAATTTGATTGAATTGTTCAAATTCTACTAATAAATTCGGTAAAATTATAAAATTAATATTAAACATTATTTTTATCAAAATTTTTTTTTGTAAATATATTAAAAATGAAACTTTAATTAAGCTTGCAAACCTATTGAGTCAAATATTAGATTACTTAAGCTCTGCTTGACTTGTAATTCGAGTAATGTGAGCATGAGCTCAACTTGACAATAATGAATGGAGTTCGATATTCTTTTAGCCCAATTAGGCTACGAAAAATTTGACTCGTGTACCCCCGCAAGTCGTAACAGTGATAGAACTTGTCAAATTTTACCGAAGGTATAAAAAAAGGCATATTTTTTCTCAAAAAAAAAATTTGTTTATGAGTATAATTATTATCAATATTTTTTAACATAATTATACTTATAAATAATATTATATTATAATATATTAATAAATAATATATTAATATGTTAATAAATAATATATAAAAATATAATAAATAATTTATTTAAGTATGTTATATAATATAATATTTAAAATAAAATAATTTTATTTAAGTATTATATTAATATAATATTTTAATATTAATAATTTTAATAATAAATAATGTCAATATATTTTAATACTAAATAATTTTTAATATTTTAATAATTATATTAATATTATTTTCCAAAAAACTAAACATTTTAGAAAATAATCAATCGAAAAATATTTTCATTAAGTCATCGAAATAATAAAAAATTTATTTCAATTCAAAAAATATAAATATTTTTTAAAAATTATTTTTTGCGAATAAAACGAAACCTTGCAAGTGTAAAGAAAAAACAGGCAAAGAGGACAAACGGACAACGATGCAAAGAGGGAAAACCATACCATAAAACATAGAAGGCAACCTATTATTATGGAATATACGCTAAAAGAGAAATAGTCCAATAGGAGTCGGTAGTTGTCATTTTCAGAATAATACAAAAGAAAGCAGAATGCCCCACTTGTCTGCAATAATCAGCTATATACAAATAATTCAGTTAAAAGAAAAATAAAAACCAATTCTTTTTTGTCCTCAATCAATTTCTCGGGGTTACCTTGACGGGATAACATCTTAAGCAAAATAATTTTCACAAGAAAATGGTCAAACATGAAATTCTAAATTCTAATGTTGGAAACTCAAGTCTAACCAGAACACTTGATCACAAGCATAACAAGTTCCAAATGTATTTTTACACGTTTTGAAATCTAAAACTATCTGCTGCAGCATGCATCCAATTGCTTTCCACTTCTACAGGATCATACCTTAGCTTCAGTTCTTCTTGAGTGCTGCTATGCAAAAATTGAGAGATCGAATGAATGATTGCAAATAGAGATTCATGCCTGATCCACTACAGAACTAAGACTAAAAATATTGTCACAAATGTCGGTGAAAACTGATGATAAGCTCATCAAGAGTTGGATTTGTAAAGTAAAGCCTGTATAAAAGGGAACACAGAACTCCGAACATTACATACCTAATTATCATAAAAGCGGGATCGACGTCTTAGAGAACTGTGAAAATCATGAATAAAAACAGATTAACTTAGAAAAAAAAATAAGATTATGAAACCAGTAACTGCTGTCATGTAATTCTAACAAACCAAACATGTCAATAAACCGACTGCATTCAATTTTATACAGTTCACTGCTCACTTGTACTCTTGGATGATGGAGGTGTTGGCAACAAAACAAATAAATACTTCATATTATAGCCCAAGGATACAACAGATAATGACGACTATGTGATGCAGTCATTACTCACTAGCCAACAGCAATTATACTTGGGAAATCGAGCTAGTTTGTATAGCTTGCAGCAGCACTGAGCTCAACTATGAAGGTGAAAGTTCATCCCAAACTTCTCTTTAGAAATCAGACTCATTCATTGGGAATTTGACCAAGCCCAACAACTAAAGCTGTTCTAATGCAGGCCAAACATCTCAATAATTATCTAAAAAACTTATCTTTATGATACCTTCAGGGAAGACTCTAAACGATTTCACAAATAACTGTCTAGGACTCCAGGTAGAAACCAATTAATCAGACAATGGATCATTAAATGATTTTCAGCATGAGGGTCCAACATAATTCAACTGTTTTTCTGGGATGCCAATATCTTAATTGTGGAAATAATAAGTAAAACTGCAGATGAATATAACAAAAGAACATCTAAGAAATAGAATAGGAAGAAAGAAACATTACTGACCTCCGATAGCCGGAGCTACCTCTGGAGGGGGCACTTGTGCTAACAAATTCATCATCAGTATCATCTACTCTATATTCTGCAAATTCTACAGAAGTCACTGAAACCTCATCAGAATTTGATGATGCATAACTAGAGCGGCGACTTCCCCTTCTAGTATCAGCGACTCTTGATCTCCTTCTATTTCTAGAATTCCTGAAGTTATCGAACATCTGATAGAAAATACAAGAGGTCCACCAGTTGCCCTCATCACCAGGGAAGTCCTCAAATTCATCTCCAGATTCATCTTCACCATATTCAATTACATAGTCTCCAAGAACCACTCCACGTGGGACTTCAGAATGTATAGTGCTCAAAACATCTATTATCTCAGAGGACTGCTGAAAATTTTCCCAATCAAGCTGCCGAGCAGGATCAATTCTTGAAGGACGAGCATGAGGGTGCTCTAACTGAGCATGTTTCTGTAGTTCCAAGTAGGTCCCCGCAAATGTGCATTGTTCCTCCTCACAGCCACGCTTCTTCTCATCTAGAAGTAGACGAGCCTTATCAACAACAATCCATCCAGTGACTTCCCCTCTACATAAGGGACAAGTTGGCCTGCAATTGTCTGCAGATACTGTTAGCTGAATGTTTGTTATAGAAATCGTATCAGATGTTGAAGGGGACGACATCCCATGTGCTCTTTTGAAGCGATCCAAACAATTTGAATGCAGGTGGTCTGTGTCACACACAAAAGGACGACAGCCTTTCTCATAAGATGAGCATTGGAGGAGTACACCATTGTGGGGGAAATCCAAACATATAGGACAAATCACATCTTCCCATTTGGTATTCAACAGAACATCCTCCATGTAACAAGTATTGGGTTGGAGCCCTCTTTCATACGAAGGTTCCCAGGCCATAAAGAGACAATTTGCATAATAATCTACAAGAAAATGGCATTCATCTCCCTCCTACAAGAAATTTAAATTTTGACCAAAATGAACTTTTGGACAAACCAACCAAGCGGTAGAATCAACCGTTGATCTACTATATGATTGCAATTAAGAAGCTGCACATAGCAGGAGTAGCTGTAAGTTGCAGTAATTACCATAATCCTAAGGTCATTGGCAAGTGGCAACAGTTTAATCGCGCCTAAAATCCAAATTAAAAAAAAGAAGAGGATGGAAAGAGCCTCATAGCGATCACGCAATTTTGAAGTTGTAGGTTAAGATGGTTTAATTATTTACAACTAGTAAAATATCATAAACCAATCAACTTATCAGACTCCTGCAAAAGCATGTAACTGTTCTCCAAACATCCAGATTGACAATTATGATGATACTACTACTATTTTTCATAATTTCAAAATAAAAGGGAATAAAGTGATTGAACTTTGATGCCATAATTGTTAATAACGAAAGAATAAAGTGCATAGGCAATCGCGAATATGATTAAAAAAAAACCCAGATTCATCACCATACCTAAAAAGAATGCCCCAAAAAAATGATCAATTCGGTATTCAGCAAAATGAAAAAGTAGTTCATAAAGCAATAAATCTTGTAAAAAAAGATTACATTCAAATTGGTATCAATAGAAAAAAAAAAAAAAAAAAAAAAAAAACACAATCATGGGTAGCAGGTGAAAACAATAAAAACTTAGGAAATCAACCGAATTTAAAAGCTGCCTACTGGGCATATTTAAAGAAAAAAAATTTAAGAAGAAAAAGGAGCAATGACATTTTTTTTTTGGGGGGAAGGGGGTGGGGGGGGGGGGGGTTTGGTTTACCTTAGATGTAATTGTTTGGATGCGGAAAAGAAAGAGAAAGACTCCTCTCTCTCTCTCGATTGTGCTCAGTGACAGAATAGAATTTTTTTTTTTTTTCCGGTGGTTGGTAGCTTTCTCTTTCTGCTATTATATATTTTGTCTAGGTCAAAATGCGCGTCGTTGTACCTTACAAAATTTGAAAATTTAGTGTAATAATTAATTTTGTTAATTTTTTATTATTAAAAATATTAAAATAATCATTAATTTTATCATCCTAATATTAATTTTATTGATGTGATATTAATTTTATTAACATAACAATTTAATGGATTAAATAAATTATTAAATTATATAAATGATTTGTACTCATAAAATTTGAAATTTAATTTTTGTATTTGTATAAAATTTAAAATTTAATCTTTTTAATATAAAAATATTTTAAAATATTTTAATTTTTTAAAAAAATTAAAATTTAAAAATATTTTAGTTCTTTTAATATAAAACTTTTTTTTAGAATATATTAATTTTTATTATATATAATTAATTATTATTAATATCATATTAATAATAATGCTATTATCATTTGTATTAATCAATTATAATATTAATAATTTAAATTAATATATCAAAATTAATATTAATTTAACTAGTTTAAATATATCATCCTAACAAAATTTTTATCAACCAAACTAAACTATTAAATAGAGTTACATTTATAATAAATCTTAAATAGGCTATAAGTGAAGTGATTGTTTCATCCAACCATATAAAATAAAAAAAAGTATAATGTTCTATATAAACCCTCAACTATTATATTTATTTTAATATAGTACCTAAATTTAAAAAAAAATTAATTAAATACCTAAACTCTCGATTCATGTATTAATATAGTTTAGGATTTAACATTGTCAGCCCTAAACATTGATATGACATAAATATTCAATAAGATGCTGATACGTGTCAAAAAATCAAGTCAGTGCAACATCATCAGTACCACATCAGCATTCATAGAAAAATTCTAAAAAAAATTTAAAAATTTTAAAAATTTTAAACACTTCAAAAAAATCTAAAAAAATGAACATTTCTAAAAATTTTTAAAACAAGTCAGTGCTTTTATAATAGCAATAAGCCAAGAGTTGAAAGCAAGCCAAGCCATGTGACTAGGTTCTCAGTTCATATTCGATTTGCCATTTCTGAAGATACGGCTTGATCAAATTAATTTGTTAGGAAAGAATAAAACTTTCTAGCCAGGTTTCGATACTGAAGATCAGTTTCTGGATGAAGTAAATTAGAGGAGGCACTTGGCTTGTTACCATCATAAAGAGCTTCAAACCGAAAATACAATGATAGTTACAAATAGTTCTCATTGGATGCTTAGCAGTTGTGAAAATTTTAGATGGTGCTCGAAAAAAAATAAAACAAGAAGAATCCTCTTTAAACTATTCGGTTTGGTTTCATTTAACTTAGTGATATGAGATTAGTATTGTTTCTGAGCACAGATGGTTGATTGTGGACATGTAGATATGTGCAATATTTCTTCAACTCATAGAAAAGAGGTTTTGCTTTGGAATATTAGAGCCTTAGAAATGATATATATATATATATATATAGAGTTAATATTTGCTTTAATTGTACAAATTCAGTTAAGATGTGTTTTATGTATTTATTTTTGTTTTGGTGCTTGTTTTATGGAAATGCATCAACAATGGATAAAAAGTTAATATATTAATTAACTAGTAAAAATTATTATTATATGAAGTCTAAAACTTTTAATCCAAAATTGAAGCTTGGATGAAAAGAGTGGTTGATGCTTGATCTAATCAATGAAAACAAAGGTTGAAAAAAAGAGAACAACATAATAAAAGTACAGAAGGATCAGATGGTGGAAAGAGGAGATTTTGAGGTTTTAAGTTTCAGGCTTTAACTTTAAATCTAGGAGCTTTGAAACATTTTGTGAGAAAACTAAGTTGAAAACGGAAAGAGAAGGAAGAAAGCTTTGTTCGAGTGAAATTGAGGACCAAATCGATGTCAGTAAGCGACGATTGACTGTGGCGAGCAATGGTACGATAGGTTATCAGTCACCAAAATTTAGGTTAAGAGAAAAGTGGTGGTCTGCTTGTTTTTTGAAGGGAAGATAATTTTTCATTTAAGGGATGAAAGAAATGAATTGGAAAAAAAACACCTTTATGCTTTATACTTAGTCGTAAAAGCATGACCTGTAAGCAACCACTTAAGATGACATGTCCTTTTATTGCCAGATGTCACTTTTTTATTTGCTAAAATGGCTAAGTACTCTGCTAATGGAGTTAAGTCCTGGACTAGATTGATACACAGATCAAGAGTTTAGGTACGTAATTAGAAATTTTTTTTAGTTTAGGTACCAAATCTAACAAATTACAATAGTTCATGGGCCATATAGGACATTATCCCAATAAAAAAAATCAAACCTAAATTCCTGCAAGGGATGAATTTCTACCAATTTAAAGGACGAAATTTGAATTCTAACAAAACAAAAAGAGGAAATGATTTATTTGCTAAAACGAAACATCAATATTATTTATCATAATGAGAACTTTAAATTTTTGGGTCTTTACAAAAAAATTATCTAAATAATTATTTTAAATTAAATAATATGATTAATTTTAAAACCAATACACATTAAGTTTAGTAAATTACTTTAATTTATTTAGAATCTTTAACCTAGATTTGATTATAAAAAATCATTTAAATAGAGTTTAATTTAAAGGAATAGAAACACTGTTCAATGGATAATTTTACATTTATGAGATATAATTATAATTATAATTATAATTTATTAATAAACTAATAAGAAATAATAGTTTATTAAAATTAAATAGTGACAGATTTGTATCATATATTAATAAATTTGTGATAGATTTTTAATAGATTGATATAAGATTTTTTTCATATGACCACAATATACTAAAATTGTGATAGAAATGTGTAACAAAATTAGTACTAGATTTATATTTTACAAATGATGTAACATGAAATAGTGATAGAACTAGTAACAGTATTTTACATGGGTGACAAAAAATTATGATAAATTTAGTGACAATATATGAAAATTGTGACAAAATATTGTAATAGATTTTTTCATTATTAGGATAAAATATTATAAAAAAATATTGTAGCAATTTTTAAAATTTAATATTTTAAAAAACTAAAATTTTTTTAAAACTTTAAAATATTTTTTATATTAGAGGAATTAAATTTCAAATTTTGTGAGTAAAGGGATTAAATTTCAAATTTCATATGAATATAAGGACCATTTACATAATTTAATAACTGATTTTATTAATCCTAATTCTCATGTCAACAAGTTAACATCATATCAGCAAAGTTAACGTCATGCCAATAGTCAATGACTATGTTAGTATTTTTAACGGCAAAAAATTAAAAGAGTTAGTTATTGGACTGAAATTATCAAATTAAAATAGTACAAAAATTAAATTTGTATGAATTATAGTATAGGGATTAAATGCTAAATTTTCATAAAGTATAAGGACTTTAGGCATATTTTGACCTTTTATTTATTGTTCGAAAGTTTCCGTTATTAAAAGCAAAGGCCTATGGGAGGGGAAGGATTGAATGAGGGATGAAAATGGTAAACTACTAGTACTAGAGAGTTTTTAAAGACCTTCTATTTACATTTTTTTTACTTTTAACTTTTTTATTTTAAAATCATTTTAAATGAAATTACTTAATTTTTTCACTCATTTTATTTTTAAGTTTTTAGATTTGCATGTCTAGAAACTTTTAAAAAATTTTAGATTAGCATACTTAGAAACTAGAAATTTTCTGTAGGATATTTTTTTCTCAATTGATTTTTTTAAAACCTAAATGTAATTTTTTTAATTTATTGAATATGAAAAATCTGGTAAGTTATATGACTTACTGAAAATATATATGATAAGTTAATAATTGACCAAAAATACATGTCTAATAGCTTTAAAATTGAGATGATAAAGGGAATTATGTAATTTCATTTAAAATTTTCTTAAAAAAAAGAAGTTAGCTACATGAAAAAAAATAAAAAATGTGTTTAGAACCGTTTAAGTTTTTATTTGCACCCCATTTTTTTCTTCACACTTTTTTATTCAAAATTATTTCTAAATAAAAACTCCTTAATTACTGTTTCTCAAACCTTTTCTCAATTTTAAGCTTCTAAATTTACAAATTCGAAAACTTTTTAAAGTTTTCAAATTTACAAATTCAGAAGATTTTAAAAATCTTCGAATTTACAAATATCCAAAAGCTTTTAAAACTTTTCATCTCAAATCATTGAAATCAAGAAGAAATCCAAAAATCCACATGTTATAATCGGGTGCTCTTTCTATTAAACCTATAAATTTTGTCTATCAATTTGTAAATGAACTTATAATTATTTGAAACAAATTATGCTTTTTCTTTGTAATGTTATGGAAATTCTTTAGGATATGAGAATTTTTTCCTAATCTAAATTTAAGGATTTTGCTTGAATCCTAAAAAAATTAAGTAAATTTTTTTTTTTTTTTAGATCTTGATGGTTTGTTGAAAAACCTAAACTCTAAATGTAACTTTTTTAAAAAAAATTTATTGAATATAAAAATCTAGTAAGTTATAAAACTTATCAGAAACGCACATCCTAGAGGCGAATCCAAAAAGAGATAGACATGGGGCATGGCCCTCCTAAGTTTTTTTTTTTTTTTAAAGCATTATAGTATAATAACTCAACTCACTTAACACTATTATGGGCTTTCATTTTCCTTTAATTTCACTGTTTTTGGCTTCACTTCTGCATATCCCATAAACTAAATAATTTATTAAATATTGTTTGTGCTGAGCTCCGATCTCAAGGTGTTCTTGAAAAGACAAAAGAAAAAGAACGGTTAGAGGCAACGATAGGGATTGTTCATTATGTTTGCACTATGACACACAAGTCAGAACGGGTAAGGTCGAAGAAAGAGTAATAAAAAGAAATAAGAGTAGTATGAACCTGCCTTAATGGTGTCTGGACCTTTATATTTATAGATAAGCAATGAGGGACCATTAAGAGACAACAAGGACAATCTGAGCTGATATGGTGCTGGATGTGTTAGACCAACCTGACATTTAAGGTTGGTAAAAATGACAA